TTTTCCCTAATGTTGAGTGATGTTGAGAATCTTTTCATGTGTCTCTTTGCCATCTGTACAACTTCTTTGGAAAAATGTTTTTTCAGGTCTTCTGCCCACTTTTAATCAGATCATGTGTTTTTTTATTATTGAGTTGTAGTTCTTTATCTATTTGGGATATTAACTCCTTATCAGAGATGTCATTTGCAAATATCTTCTCCCATTTAGTAGGCTGCCTTTTCATTTTGTTGATGGTTTCCTTTGCTGTGCAAAAGCTTTTTGTTTTGGTGTGGTCCCAATAGTTTATTTTTGCTTTTATTTCCCTTCCTTGAGGGGACAGATCTAGAAAAATGTTGTTATGGCTGATAGCTAAGAGATTACTGCCTATGTTTTCTTCTGGAAATTTATGGCTTCAGGTCTTACATTTAGGTCTTTAATCCATTTTGAGTTCATTTTTGTATATGGTATAAGAAAGTGGTCCAGCTTCATCCTTTTGCATGTGTGTGTCCAGTTTTCCCAGCACCATTTATTGAAGAGACTGTCTTTTCCCCATTGTATATTCTTGTCTCCTTTGTTGAAGATTAGTTGGCCATAAAATCAGGGGTCTATTTCGGGGGGTTCTGTTCTGTTCCGTTGATCTATTTTTATGCTGTACCAGATTGTTTTGATTATTATAGTTTTGTAGTGTATCTTTAAATCTGAGATTGTGCTACTTCCAGTTTTTTTGTTCTTTCTCAAAGATTGCTTTGGCTATTTGGGGTCTTTTATGGTTCCATACAAATTTCAGCTTTATTTGTTCTAGTTCTGTGAAGAATGCTATTGGTATTTTGGTAGAGATTGCATTGAATCTGTAGGTTGCTTTGTAATTGCATTGTGTAATGTTGATCTTCAATTCAGAGATAGATTGGATTCAGGTAACACACGGAAACTTGAGCCAACCTAAACATAAAAGTGGGTTTTTAATCAGACTGCAGGGGATTTCATGGTTTCTGAAGGCTGGCATGTAGGCAGGTCTAAGAACCGTAGCTAGGAAACCATCAGGAACCCATCTTGTTCTCTCTAGCCCTCGTTTCTATATTCCTGTCTTTGCAGACTGGCTTGCTGTCTACCATGTGGCTCAGAGTCTATTCCACTCTCTCAGGATAGGGAATCCAGTTGGCTCAGTTTCGGGTCAGGGCCCCAACGAGGTCCAGTTAACCACTGGGGGGTCAGGGTTATGCAGTATAAAACACGCCTGGGGATCAGAGCCACTTCCAAAGAAAAGCAGGGTGGCTTGTAATCTGTTTACATACCCCAAAAGGTGGTCACTGTTATACCCCCAATTCATCTTCCACTCCTGGAGAGTACTTTGTGATACCATTTTCTGATTTGCAGCTTTTAATGGTACTTTGTGCATATTGTGCATTTTTTTCTTTTCCCAATTTGTAGCTGTATTCTTCAGCTCTTGTGGAATCTGAGGATCATGATCCACATAATCAAGACAGAAATTTTGATGTGGAATCAGTAAAGAAAGAAATCCACAGAGGACGGATGTTGGTAAGTATAAATGATTTTATTACTCATAAAAGATGAACAGATCTTGAAGGGGATGTTTCCAAGAGAAAGTCTACTTGATTGGTAAACCAGGGATAGAGACACATCTTGGAGAGCTGAAAGACATAGGACCTGTATTGGAAACTTAAATTCAACTGAACATTTAATATTTTAAAACAAACTACAACACGCTTCATCAGCAAAGTAGATATGAGTTCGATTGCTTTTGGCTGTAAGTAGAAGGAACCCTCAACTCAAACTTTAAGAAAAGGCTTTAACAAAAAGGATGCTCATTTTCTCACTTAGCCAGAGGGAAAACTGGCTTCAGAGTTGGTTGATTTAGTGGCCATCAAGAGCCCATCATCCTTTCTGTCATCCTGTCCACAACATCATTTGGTCCTCTTGTGGTCATAGGGTGGTCACAGACAACAACTGAAGTGTCAGTCTTTCTTATCTCTATCAGGTAAAAGAAAAAGGTCATCCCGGGCACCTGGGTGGCTCAGTTGGTTAAGTGTCTGCCTTTGGCTCAGGTCATGTTCCCAGGGTCCTGGGATCAAGCCCCACATCGGGCTCCTTGCTCAGTGGGGAGTCTGCTTCTCCCTCTGCCCCTCACCCCACTCTTGTGCTTTCTCACTCCGTTAAATAAATAAAATCTTTTAAAAAAGAAAAGAAAGAATTCATCCCCAAGCATTGAATAAGAGCCCTTCTGAAAATTAAATTAGGCCACACCCATCTTCCTGCTCTAGTTGCTAAAGGTGGCCATAACTAATCAGGATCGACCCCCTTGGACCTGGGTCAGCTCCGCTTGGGAAGACAAGAGTGTGGAGTAGCTACCCTATTAGTTCAGTTACAGTAGACTTCCTTTAGGAAAGGCCCTTCATGGCTTAGCAAGCAGTACAGCAGGTGTGAGCACCTAATGCCCACCACCACAGTAAGGTTGATGATCTGGAACAGACATTTATTTAGTCTTTACAAGGCATACACATAGATGAGGGCAGTTTCTGCACAGCCTGATGTGCTTTGAGAAGGGTCAGCACAGGTCACTCAAGCAATCAAGCACCTTAGTGCAGGTGGGGCCCAGAAGACTTCCTAGTTGGGGAGGAGTGAGGGTAACGAAGATGGGGAAGGAGGAATTCCAGGGAAAGGGAACAGGATGTGCAATAGTTGAGAAGGCAAGAAAGACATGGCATGTTCCTAAAACTATAAGCGTATGACTGTGGCATCCTCTTTACTGACTTCATGGAATTCCATGGGATCGACCAGAATGCATGAAACTATTCCCTTGTTGTTAGATAATGAGTCAACTCTGGTTTTTCACTATAACAACTAATGTCACCATAAACATCTTTGTACACATACCCTGTGTACTTGTTTGAGTAATGCTGTAAAGCACATTCCTAGAAGTGAAATGGCTGAGTGAAAGAGAATTCCCTTTAATAATTTTGAAACATGCGGGGCGCCTGGGTGGCTTAGTCAGTTATGCATCTGCCTTCCCCTCAGGTCATGATCCCAGGGTCCTGGGATTGAGCCCCACATCAGGCTTCCTGCTCAGCAGGGAGCCTGCTTCTCCTTTCCCTGCTCCCCCTGCTTGTGCACCCTCTCTCACTGTCAAATAAATAAGATCTTTAAAAATAATAATAATTTTGAAACATGCCACTAAACTGTCCCCCAGAAAGGTTGTACCATTTTATACTTCAGTGGATGAAAGAACATTTTTCCCAGCCCTTGACAAAAATGAGTATCATGAATTTTGTTATTTTTTGCGTCTGACAGGAAGTGTTACCATGCATTTCCCTCATCACTGGAGAGAGGTTGAACGTTAGTTCTTCTTAGGCATCTGTCTCCCTCCCAGCCTACCCAGCCCCAGCAGTTCTTCCATGATCCCTCTACAGTCAGTGGCCCCATCTCATAGGCATTGTCCTGCAAACAGCCTGGACTCCCTCTCCCCACCACCCACGTGTACATTTCCTTACTCACTTAGCAAACCACCACCACCCCCGCCCCTGCCAGTGAAATGCACCTGTCTGTTGTCTGCATATGCTGAGCAGTACTGGCACTTGAACAGTTGACCAACTGGACAAAAACCCACAAAGGTGTTGACTGATCTTAGCTTCATGGCCACAAACCTCAAAAGGAACCTCAACACGTCACCCTCCACCCTCTACCTTTACTGTTTCATATCCTCTCATCTCTTTTTAAAACCTCTCCCACCCCAACTGTTCATCCCCAAGTTGATGACTATGCCTTATTTTTTTTTATAAACTTTATTCTTTTAGAGCAGTTTTAGGTTCATAGAACACTTAAGGGGAAAGTACAAAGATTTCTCATATACTTCCCACCCCCACACATACACAACCTTTTTATCAACATCCCCCACCAGAGTGGTCATTGTTACAACTGATGAACCTACACTGACATTTCATGAAAACACCCGAAGTCCGTAGTTTACATCAGGGTTCATCTTGGTGGTACACCTATCTGTCTGATTTTTATCGAGAAATGGAAGCCATTAGCCAAGAACTCCTACTATTCAAACCACTGCCCATCCACCTCTGTCCCCAGACTCTGGGACCTCCCTCTTGTCAAAGTCAACCCTCCACTTAGACTTTGGAGTCATCACCTGCCCCTCTTTAAGGATTAGGCTCTTGCATTTCCCTTTAACGTCAGTATCCCCCCTTGTACTAGATTATTTCCTTCAGCATATATCCAAGATCAACTGATCATGTCATCTTAAATTAAATCCTCCTTTGTAAAATTATTAAAACCTGGTCAATTACAATGTCACTTCTGTCCTTAGCTGACCTTTCAGCAGTATTCATCACAGTTGTCCATGCCCTGCATCCTGAAGCACTTTCTTCCTTTGACTTCCTACATGTACACTCTGCTGCTATGTCTCTTACCTTTCTGGCTGCTTCCTCCCAAGCACCTGGGCTGTTTTTCCTTCTCTGCTAAATCTCTAAAGTGTACAGTCCCCAAGGTTCTCCTGGGCTCCTTCCTCCATCTGAACATCTTTCCTGTGTGACCTCTTCCAGTTCCCATGGCTTCAATTCCTACTTATGCCAGGGACTCTGTACCTCCAGCCATTAAAACCAACCTGACATATCTACATGAGTATCTAAGAGCATCTCATATTAAACTGGCCAATGAACACAGTTCCAGCCCCTGCACACATATACACACACTCCATCTAAACCTGTTCACTCCTCACCTCAATGAACTGCCAACCATTCATCCATCATCATCTTCTCATCAACCTCCCAGCCCAGCATCCAGCCTGTCAGTGTCACCCTGCAGACCCTCTATCCTCCCCATTTTTTTTTTAAAGATTTTATTTATTTACTTGACAGAGACACAGCGAGAGAGGGAACAGAAGCAGGGGGAGTGGGAGAGGGAGAAGCAGACTCCCTGCTGAAAAGGGAGCCCGATGTGGGGCTCAATCCCAGGACCCCGGGATCATGACCTGAGCCGAAGGCCGACGCTTAACGACCGAGCCACCCAGGCGCCCCTCTATGCTCCCCTTCTCTCTGTCACTAACCCCCTGCAGTAAAGTCATGGATCTCCCTCAGACACTTGCTAATAAACATCACTGATCTTTGTTTTGCACTCTCTCCTGCCCATCCCTACCCCAGCCCATTCTCCACACAGCCACAATAGTGTCTTTAAAATACTGATCACTTAGGGCCCCTGGGTGGTTCAGTCTGTTCAGCATTGGACTCTTGATTTCAGCTCAGGTCATTATCTCAGGGTTGTGAGATTAAGCTCCAGGTCCAGCTCTGTGCTCTGCAGTCAGCACTGAATCTGCTTGGGATTCTTTCCTTCACCCTCCCCCTCTGTCCCTCCCTCAGCTCATGTTCTCTCTCAAATAAATAAATAAATAAATAAATAAATAAATAAATAAATAAATAAATAATTTTAAAAATAAAATACTGATCACTTTATGTTCCCATCGTACAAAGACAAAACCCCAACTCCTTACTCTGCTTTGTAACCCCTACATGACCCAGCCTTTCCTTACCCCTTGGATCTTACCTCTGACTTCCCTTACCCTCATCTCTGCCCCAACAACATCAGCCCACCCCTCTTGTCCTTCCAGTAAGCTTGGTAGGAGGCTCATTTTTGCCATAGGAATATAAAGCCTTCTGCCTAGAATATCCTTCCCCCTGCTTTTTTGCCTCCTGGGAGCTCTTAGTATTCAAATCTAAACTTCTGTATCACCTCCTCAGAGAGGAGGGAATGTGTCCCAATCTGAAATAGGGACCCAGTGAAAATGTCACTTCACCTTCTAACAAAGCATGTATCACTATGTTTTTTTAAGATAATTCATATATTTTTATTAGCTCATTCTTTGCACTAATTAAGCACTTGGTAAATATTGATATCGATAGTCTTATTGCTATAATTACTAGAGATGTTATTTATTTTTGTTAAAATTGAAATTTATGTTCATTAAAAGACATCATTAAAGACAGTGAAGAAACAAAACAGACTGGGAAAAGATATTTACAACACATGTATCACTGTGTTTTTAACTTTATGTGATCATGGTCTGTCTCTCTCCACTAGAATGTTAACTTCACAAGGGCAGGTACCTTGTCCCCAGCTGTTTCCCTCTACCCTAGAACAGTGCCTGACACATCACAGTTACTCAGTAGTCTTTAAGTGAATGAAATTTTATTAGCCATTTGTATTTCTTCTGTGATTTGCCTGTTCTCATTTTTCTGAGTTTATCAGTCTTAAACCTTTATCAAATATGCAGCAAACATTTTTCTTTTTTTATTGATACAGTTGACATACAATATTAGTTTCGGGCATACAACACAGTGATTTCACATGTATGTATATACGTTATGAAATGATCACCACAATAAGCCCAATTACCATCTGTCACCATATTCCAATATCGTTGACCATATTCTCTATGCTCTGCATTATATCCCTGTGATTTATATATTTTTTTTAAGATTTTATTTATTTGACAGAGAGAGACACAGCAAGAGGAAACACAAGCAGGGGGAGTGGGAGAGGGAGGAGCAGGCTTCCCACTGAGCAGGGAGCCCGATGTGGGACTCGATCCCAGGACCCTGGGATCATGACCTGAGCCGAAGGCAGATGCTTAACGACTGAGCCACCCAGGCGCCCCATGAAAGCCTGTACCTCTTAATCCCCTTCACCTACTTTGCCCACAGTTTGTTCATTGTATTAATGAGTCTGTTTCTGTTTGCAAACATTTTCATTGTTTTTTTGGTAGCTGTCACTATAAAAATGGAAGTTTCATTTTTTATGTAGTCAGATCCGTCAGTCTTTTTCTCTGTGACTTCTGAGTTTCCTTCCTTGCTTAACCTTCCTGACCTTAACCCCATACATTTTCATTAACTTTAAAACTTTTTCTCAGAGCCTTAATCCATGTGGAACTTATTTGGTAATATATTGTGAGGTAGGGATGTAACTTTTTTTCTACACATAAAGCCAGATGGCCCCCCCCGCCAAATTAAATGATCTTTCTTTGTGCTCTGATTTGAAATTCTACCTTTAGCATAATCTAATTTCTTACCCATATTTGAATTTTCTTTATTTGTATGGTTGCTTGTGCTGACCTTAGGATACTGTTCGAAGTATTTCCTGTTTTGCAAGGTGGTTTCATTGTGCTTCCCCTTCATTCAGACAGAGCCTACTATAAATCACATCAGCATTGGGCATGGCTTGGACTCCCCTAAACCAGTTAGACTGCTGTGGCCACATACTGTCCTAACAATCTCTACACCACCTTCAATATATAAAATACCAGATCAACTGACTAATATATAAAAGCAAGAGATCAAATAAATAGAACTTGGAAAAAAATTTGCTACTCAGGGTTTTGTTTTTTTTTTTAATTTTAAATTTTTGGCCCTACTACATAGATTCCAGAGAGGTTTCACTTACTTTATCTCATGTTATCCTCAGTAGAAACCATGAGACAGTGTTATCCGCAGGGAGGGATCTGGGTCTAAGAGAGGGGAGAGACTGCTGGATCACACAGCTCTCAGTGGTACCATCAGAAACCACCCTCACCATGGGCCCCAGTGTCCCTAACAGGACCCCTTGCCTGGTGCAGGACAAACCTCTTTTTAGAAATCTCTTGTAAAAAGAGAAAGGTTTTGTTTGTTTTAAAACAAAAAGGGTTTTCTACTTTTAGTCAGATCATTACAGGTCAGTGCCAACCAAGTACTTTAGTTAGCAGAAGTTTTGCTGAAATCTCAAAATGAGCAGCCAGATGTAAATACCTAACATTTGTGGCTGAGGACGTTAGGGCTGCAGACTTAAAAATAACATTTAATGATGTCTTTAACTTTAAATTTTAACAAAGATTATGAAAAACAGGTGCTTACTCAGTAAAATTTATTCTTCTGTAGAAATGTTCACTTTGTAGTAAAAAAGGAGCCACCGTGGGATGTGATTTAAAAGCCTGTAACAAGACTTACCACTTTTTCTGTGCCAAGAATGACCACGCAGTTCTACAAATTGATGGATCTCGAGGAATTTATAAGTATGTATAATTAAACAGTTTTAAAGCTACATTTGGGGGAATGGAATAAGGAATGGTTAGATTAAGAAAGAGTTTTTTGTTTTTGTTTTTTTTTTAAGATTTTACTTATTTGACAGAGCACAAGCAGGGGGAGCGGCAGGCAGAGGATGGGGGAGAAGCAGGCTCCCCGCCGAGCAGGGAGCCCAATGCAGGGGCTTGATCCCATGACTCTGGGATCATGACCTGAGCAGATGCTTAACCAACTGAGCCACACTGGCACCCCAACAAAGAGGTTTTTAAAGATAATTTTATGCAAATGGTTTCCAAGTAAGAACGTGGTTTGGGGGGCAGTCGGGAACCTGACTTCACAATATCTTCCCTCGGTATTATAGAAAGAAAATGAGCAGAGTTGGTTTTGGTTTTAATCTTCCTAAATGCCTTCTTTCCCAGTAGAAAGCACTGGTTGCCATACTGGCATGTGTGACCTAATGGGTGGTCACAGGACCTAGAACCAGTTCACTATTGCTCTCCCCTGCAAACAGGAGCCTTGTGAGCCACAAGTCCATGGTTTATCCATCTTGTCTGCTGAATGAATGTCTTTTCCCACCACTCTCACCACCATCTTACCTATAAAGAGCTTTTAAAAATGATAAACTATGCAGCAAATATAGTAATCAGTCATTAAGTTCTTGAAGAAAGAAATTAATCCTGTTTGAATTGCCTTTGGCTTTTAAAATCTTGCTTCCCTCTTTCAGTAATTCTTTAATGTTAATTTTGACCCAGTAAGGCATATTTCAAGTCCAACAGAATTGTATTTGTTTTATCCAGGAAGAAACCTGATCTTCCTTCTGACGAAAGGTTGCAGTTCAGTTAAATAGACAATTTAGTCAAACGAAATCAGTAAGCCAGTTGTTAACTGAATTGATTCAAGTCATGTTCAGTTTTTTGGTATGTGGATGCAGTCTAAAACATGTCATATAGGGGCGCCTGGGTGGTGCAGTTGGTTGAGCATTTGCCTTCAGCTCAGGTCATGATCCTAGGGTCCTGGGAATGAGCCCCGCATCGGGCTCCCTGCTCAGTGGGGACTCTGCTTCTCCCTCTCCCTGTGCCTCTCCCCCTGCTTGTGCTATCTGTCAAATAAATAAATAAATCTTTAATAAAATAAATTATAAAGTTAAAAAGATATCTAGAAGAAGTTTTGACCTTTCTTAAAGTTATGAAATGGAATATAAAAGAAAATGATGGTCTGAAGTTGAAGAGCTAGGCAGATACTTTTCACTTCTTTGGGGTATGTGCATACATTCTGATGGAATATTTTAAATTTCAGTTGAAATATTTTTATTCACAATATTTTGAATGAGAGCATTATCTTTTTAATACGATTTTTGTGAGATCCTAAATATTTTAAAATTGCATTTGGAGGCTAGATTTTTCCCCCCTTTGGGCACACACCCCCAGTTTCATCAAAGTGTTTCAGGCACTATGTTGTTTTATTTGATCTAAATAATCACTTACTTTGTGCCAGAAATACTTCCAACTACTTTACAAATGTTAACACATATAATCCTCATAACAACCCAGTGAGGTAGATATTTATCCCCACTTTACAGATGCAGACACTGAGGCCCTGTGAGACTTAGTCATTTGTCCCTAGGTCACACAGCTGGTGAGTGGCAGAGCTGGGCTTTAGGGCTTTGGAGTTCTTGCTCTTCACCACATCCTCTTCAAGCTTAGGGGCCTATATTCTAAAACAGTATGGGCAAGCATATTATTAAAAGGAATTTGTTAAATAATTTTACATCTGATTTTGAGCAAGTTCCATAGGTATTTTATTGCTTGAGTCTAAAAAGGAATGTGTAAGTCATACTAATTTTGTACCATACTTTTTATATTTGATTTGCTCAGAAACTCAGATTTTTTTTTTTTTTACCTTCCCAAAGAGTTCATTATGACTTCCATAATGACCTCACGCACCCACTAGACACACTGTTACTAGCAGAGCTACAAGACTGAACAAAAAGGAGTCGATTCGTGTTATATCTTAAACTGCAAAAATACTGGTCTTGTGTTAGTAGAACCAAGGAATAGAGACTCAATGAAAATAATCATTTTTGTCATTATCATGTATCAGGTGAACTTCTATGTACTTTTTAATTTAAATATTCAGTTGTTAGAGTGCCTGTCATACACAAGGTATCTTGCTAGGTGCAGGAAGAATATAAAGAGGAATAGGACATGGGCTAAATCTAAGAGAACCTAGCACCTCGCTGGAAGGACCAGAGGCCAGAACAAATAGAAGCACGTGGCATGATGGGAGCAGGAGGGGATTTGCATGAAACCGGCTTGGCCTTGAGTTGATAATTGTTGAAATTGAGTGATGGGTGGGGGGCTATGGGGCTTATCATCTCTTCACTTTTAGATCTGTTCGAATTTTCCATAATAAAAAAATGTAAGTGCCTGGCAAAAGAAGTGTGCAGATACTGGAATCCAATGGGTGAGATTAATTTTGCTTGGGGCAGGATATGGGTTGCTAGGAAGATTGCATGTAAAAGGCAGAAATTGGTGTAAAACAGGAAGAATTCATATGTTCCCACAGGCAAGAAGGAGCCTGCCTCCTGAGGGTCAGCACCTTAAGGAAAGGAAGGGAGCTGTAGCTGGGGGCTGAGGATAGAGCCTGGGGAAGATAGGGGAGCTGAGCAGCTCCTCAAAATTCATTTACTCCATTTCTTCTTCATAGCCTGCTGTGCTGCTTGCTTCTCTTCTAAGGCATCGATCCGTTCTAGATTCATGCAGTTCAACTCTAAAGTCTGGGGGGAGATAACTGCTGGGTTAGAAAACGACTTTCCCCAAAATTCATGCATGCAATTTTGTGCTATTTATTGTTGAAAATCAGTAGAACTTTGTGTAGTCAGATGAAAATTTGTCTTAGATGTTGTATCTTTAGATATCTTTCTTCATACAGTAAAATCCCACTGACCACGATGTATGAGTTACTTACCATTGTTCAAAATGTTTCACACGCACTCCTTCGGAGAGCGTACCAACTTGAGGGCTGAGAGCACAAAAGACATCTGACAGAGGCTCCGTCCGCACGTGATGAGGGTCAGTAACTTACACAGGTTTGGACAGCATTTTTCTTTTACAAATATTTAGGGTAAGGCCATCATGAAAATTAGACTAGTTCCTTTTTAAATCATAAGAAAATAGGAATATTTCAGAAGTGTAAGTAAAAATATTTAACAATTCTTTGAAATTGCATGTTTCAGAGTGTTTTGCAAACAACATGCTCCATTGACCGACGCTCATAATGGTAAGTCTCTAAAATTTAGTACTGTGGGTTTAAAGAAAGGTATACATTTAGGTAAGACGTGGAATATCCTGATTTACTAGCCTCACTGAATTAAATACAAATTTTTGAGTTAAGTTTTTAATACTTAAAAAATTGCCAGTTTCTTTGTGCAGTGTGCAGTATAATGGACTAACTTTCTTCTTTGCAAACTAGACCCACTCCCAGGAACGTCTGGTACCTCCCATCCTCACTACAGTCAGAGGGCCAAACAAGGACGTGGTAAAAACCTTTGACTTTTGCAACTGCTTCTCTTCTAAAATATCAGTAGTTATAAAATTGATAAATTGCTGCACATTCCCTAAAATTTCCTAAGAATGCATGATTAGCATTTCAGTTATAATTAAGGAAAACTGGGCCCTGGCTAACTGGAGTCACGGGCTGTACATTCACTCATGAATGGCCTCTGTATGCTGCCTGAACAGCAGTGTCTCACCAGCACGAAATCTGGAATGCTCACTGTGGACCAGTCAGGACCTCTTTGGAAAAAACTTAGTTCCACATCATGCCAACTGCATTTTTTGGTGGTAAACAACACTCTCTAAACAGTATTGTTACCCTCATTTTTCAGTCAATACCCTTTTATCAGGATTATAAAAAATATAGTTTCGATCAGTGTTTACTAATAGGGAAAGGTAACAATGTAGTCTTAATTTTTAAATTTCTTTTTTAAGAGCATGCACGAGCAGTAGGGGGTGGGGAGGGGCAGAGGGAGAGAGAGAATCTCAAGCAGGCCCCACACGCAGCATGAAGCCAGACACGGGGCTCAATCTCATGACCCAAGCCAAGAGTCAGATGCTCAACCAACAGAGCCACCCAGGCAACCCAATATTTAAAATTTTTTTTAATGTATTAGTTTTTAAAAGCAGATTATAACACAGTTATGAATCCTCTCCCCAGAAGAAACTATCAGTTTCATTTGAATTCTTCTAAAAATTTCCTGTACATACTATATTTTGTTTTCACTCAGACATCCTTCTATATCTATACAAATGGATCTACCTCATTTTTGAAAGGCTGCATAATATTCAACTGTGTGTATTATTATTCAGTTGTATAGCTGAATTACAACTGAACTAGTCTCTGCACGATAGACACCGAGGTTATTTCCTTTTTTTTTTTCTATCACATCAAATAGTGTAGTTAACATTTTTCTCCATTCATCTTTGTGCCTTTATGCAACTGTACCATTTGGAAAACTTTGTGTAGATTGCTGGGTCAAAAAGTATAAACAGTGAGACTGTGGTAACAACTGGCTAATTCTCTTCCAAAGAGGCACCAGCAGTACACAATTACCCCAATCCTTGCAAATATATTAAACAAACACTTTCATCTTTGTCAGTTTGATAGGTGGAAAATTATTTTGCATGTCTTTACTTATGAGTAAAATTGAGTGTATTCCCCTTTTGATCTATACATCTGTTTTCCTGTGACACAGTCTGTTTTTCTATTTAATGAACTCTTCCTAGAGGGTTCCCCATTGGCCTATTTTTCTATTCATTTGTTTTATATTTATAAGATTTTTATATTTTGAAAATTGGTGCTTTATCATATGTGTTGCAAACATTTAGTGTTAAGTTTGCCATATCTTTTGACTTTGTAATAACTTTTAGTATATAAGAGTTTTCTATTTTATGTAGTCAAGCATCAGTCTTTTCCTTTATGGATTCTGGTTTCTACATGATTTATATTTTCAATTGATTTTTCAGGACTGAAAAGAAAAAGAGGAAGGAAGAAATGTCTCTCAGAAGACATTCATGTATGTTGTATAATAAAATGACTTCATTTTATTATAGCTTTCAGTTTCTTCACACAGTTTCTTCCTTATTTTAACCATTCACATATCCGGTGAAATGGTAACAGAACCATAATGAGCTGAATGTAAAAGTTGGATGTGTTGGGTATCCCAGCACGTGCCCTTCAGGAGGTGACAGTCCTATGGCTCTGATAACACACATCCTGGTACCACATCAGTGAAAGTATCAGAGCCCACAGTGTGCTTATGGTCTTAAAATGGGCAGAGGTGCAGTAAAACATCCTTACCTAACCAAGTATTTCTCAGCTGCATGATCCACACTTGACCTGATTTGTGATTATCATAATTTTCTGCATTACTATTATGTGCAAAGTGTATGAAATGTTTTGGGGATTTGAAACCGTTTTTTACACATCCACTCATATGAGCTAAATTAATATTCGTATGAGCTAAATTAATATGAGCCAGCAACCTTCCCCTCTTGCTGTTTATACAAGAGGAGCTTGCCACACTTCTTGATGTTTTGTTATACAAAAATGATTTGATGTTTACATGTAAACTACCAATGAATATGGGGCATGATTTTTCACCACAGGCATATCATTGAATTGTATGCAAAAGACTAGTTTTCATTTTACACAATATTAAATGGCAACAGTAAATCAATGTAATCTTAATTTTTCTCTCCCTCTAGCCACCTGAAACGTTGACATTCGATAGATTCATGAAGGAAGAGGAAGGCAGACACACAGGTTTGCTATAAATTTTGTATCAAATATGACTTACAGTACTTATAAAAATAACCCATTTACTTCAAAGTTGGATCCCACTTTATTCTTCTAGACTTATAGTAATTGTAAGAAAAGAAAGCTTTTATCATAATTATCTACTCTATCATAGCCCCAGGTCAAAGTAATTTAGATGGGGATGGTCCATTGTTCTTTGGTATTAAGAAAGAAAGGATACACTTCCTGGTCTAGAAGCCAGGGTTACCTAAGCTCAGAATCCAGTCCTGTGCTACCTCTTGTACTGTGACCCCAGGAAGGGGTCCAGGAAGCTGAAGCCAGTCACTGTAGCTTTCTGTCAGGGAAACAGACATTCCATAATGACGCACAGTAACTGTGACAGAAAAAATGATGGGAGCTATTATCTCAAAGATCTGCAGCTAAATTTTAGAAAGTCTTCTTGATTCAGATAATTAGTCTAAGCAGGGAAGTTTTTCTTTTCACTTTTTGTAACTTTGTTTCAGTGAGGAAAACATGAGGTATGATGAAATTACAATAAAAGATAAAGGTGCTGTATTTATTATCCTATTGACTGTGCTCATCCACCACTAGGCATGGTCTGAAGAAATGACCATAAAGGGATTTATGAGAGCTGCTCTAGATCATTTCCTAAAATGTTTTTCTTATTCTTACATGCAGCTGTGAAGACTGGTTTTCTTAAGAAATGTAAGGAAGCGGGGCTTCTTAATGATTTATTTGAAGAAATATTAGACAAACTTCATTTGATTCAAGAAAGACTCATGGGTGACACTGCTTCTGATTCAGGTACTGAAATAGCAACATTTCTATGTGCAGAGACTTCTCGCAAACCTACTTCTAAAACAGACCAAACCAAAAGTACACATTTTCTATGCAATTTCTTTTCCTTATCTCATTCTTTAATACAATTCACTGTTCCAGGTCTCTAGTCTTCTATGTATCAACAGGATGTGGGTAATTCACAAACTGATTCAGTGAAAAGCAGGCTGGGGCCCTGCAAGTTGTGATGGGTTTTGCAGACGCGTGTAGCTGAGAGTGACAGCCGACAGCACATGGACGCTCAGAACCACAGGCAGTTACACATCTGCCCCCTCACCGCTTGTTGCTAACATCTGAGAATAGCATCATGTTACAGTTTTGATTTGACTCAAATTCTGTTCCTTATGTCTTTTTTTGGTAATATCAACTCAAAGCTTATAGAAGAAAAAAGGAATGTTTTGTTTGATGTTGCACCTAGTTAATGTGACCTTTCAGAAAGAGCTCTTTGGGAAGCCAAAGTTCCATTTGTATATGCAAGTATATAGCCACTTAGCCTTCTTAGACCCTACACTGTGAGCTTAAAAACTTTATGATAAATGCAGTTATTTTGCAAGGAAAAGACTGACAGTCTATATTGTAGGCACCATTGTAAAGTCTATGATTATTTGAAAGGGATTATTTTCTATAGGACAAAACCAAAAAGTGAAATTAAGAGCAAACTTCCAAAAATTCATTCACTACATTCATTCATTTCCTCTTTACTTGAGACTAAGTACTTCTCAAACTTGAACATGCCTCTCAGAGCTCCTAGAGGGCTTGTCAGAACTAGTAAGCGGGCCTCACCTCTGGAACTTCTGATGTGGTAGCAGAGCCCCGCATTCGCATTTCCACCACGTCCCCGGGGACACTGCCGCTCCTCCGGTGTGAGACGGAAGTTGCACAGTGCTAGACTGTTCTGTGTGTTTTTCCATTCCTTATTTGGGGTTAGTTTGTAAGGGGTTTCTGCCTGTATCAATTATTTAAATTAGAACTGAAAATGTGTTTCTCCCTACAGACCATGAAGAAATCGAGACTTCACTTTTTGACTGTAAATTGTTTGAAGACACATTTGTAAATTTTCAAGCAGGTATGAGTTATAACCGAGCAGCATAATTTATATATATATACACTGAAGTAATATAATACTATTCAGGTGATAAACATCATTTTAGAAGAATGTTCATCATCTTACTAAATGAAAAAACCCACCACAAAGCAGTACGAGCCCTCACACACACAGAAAAAACGTACCCAAATGGGAACAGTCGTTACCTGTAGGGGGCCGGACAGTGCTGCATTAGATTTTCCACATTTTCTACATATACCCAATACCGCAGTAATCAGAAAAAAACTCAGTTTTTTGTTTCTACTTTTTTAAATGATTGCAAAATGGGAGGTCGTTAGGCCCCATGTTCAGGACTCAGCAGGAGCTGGGGAGGTGGCAAGGCTGTGACATTTGAGTGTACAAATTTTCATTCTCCCAATATTAATCTTCAATCTAACTGGGGGAAGGAGGGTTGCAATTCACTGACTCTAAGATGAGCAAGAAAAAACAGTCGTTTTTGAAAAAGAAGCAAGCCTGGTGGGGGCAGAGACTTAATGGTTGCTATTTTATAAAAAGGTTTTGCTGAATCATTATACTGTACACCCGAAACTAATAGGACACTGTATGTTAATAGTACCTCAACCACTCAGTGAGTAGGTCCTCCCACCCTTAAGATGCTTTCAAAACCGGCTACATTTCCACTTACAGAAATCAGACCAGACTCATCTGTATCAACCTGCCACTCAGCGGGACAGGCTGTGTACTGCACATCCCAGCCAGAGTGGGACACAGAACTGGGTGTGAACGGCTCCCCCTACAGTTGCACAACCACAGTGTCCTACGCTCCATTCAGATAATTAGCCTATCCTTTAATGGTCTCTTGAGAATGTCTGCTCGCTGCTAATGCGAGTATCCATCTATTTTTTAAAAGCAGCCTTTAAAATCTTTTTCTAAAAAGCCTTATTTTGTAGGGGACTTTCATCTGTGTTACTTTTCTTCCATATGAAAGTCATGTTTCCTCTCCGTGCATGGGTTAGTTGGGAAGATAGACGTTATAGTGTAGTACTTGGGGGGAGTGGGGCAGGAAGAGGAGACACTATTTGAAATTGCATTAGAACCAACTTTAAAGGCCTAACTTGACATCCTTACTGATACAGACTCTCTTGCGTAGTTTAATTAAAGTTGCTCAGTTCTAATGTTCCAGAAAGTTAACTATAGGTATTCTAGAGAAAGATTATATGTTTGTGTTTTAATACTCAACTTTGAAGTTTTCAAAAAACATTGTCACTGAGTAATAGTTATTTATAAAGCCTAATTAAAGTATCTTCTTCCTATGTTTCCACAGTAAAGGCCTTCCTTTTTCTAAATAAAACCAAAAACTTTTATGTAACATTAAAAACTGGATGCATTTTTATGAAAGATTTGCCGTTATCCTTGATATTCAAACCACATGCTCTCTCCACTTATCTCTCAACAAATGTGTATAGTGCAGCATGAAGGTTATACAATCTCTGCTTCTGAGTTCTCAAAGATATACAAAAGGGACTCAAGCTCTAAAGATGTACTGACCGGCTTTATGTGATAAAAACTAGAATTCTATCCTGAATTAGAAGAGGAACCAGTTCCTGCTCACAAGGCCCTATTTTCTTTTCATGTGGGGCACAGCAGTGTCTATTATGCACTTGCAAGTGAAAGAGGCCAGAAATAGTACATTGTTTATAAAACTACTAACCTGAAATTTCTTTTTATCATAGGAATACAGAAGAAAATCCATCAATGTGAAGAATGGCAGAAGCAACTGAATGACGAGATTGGAGTACTTAAGGACTTAAACCAAACCGTGTGCTCTCTTCAAGGAGATAGAGACATGTCAAGTTCTACTTCAGTATCTTCTGTGTCTTCTAAGGATACCATTTCCTAAATCAGGAATGAGGCTCAGTTGCAAGCAGGCTACAAACTGAAGACCTGACCTGTGGAAGCCACACATCTTTAGAGCTAGGCCTCTCCTGTCTCTCTGGACTTCAAGCTTCAGTCCTTATCAACTCTTACCTGTTCTTGCTGATTGACATTTCATTTGATTCTGCCTCCCTCTTATTATCATCTCACTTCTCTCCAATAAAATGTTTCTCAGATTCTACTTGAGTAAACTGGATCACACCTCCCATCTCTCCCACCCGCTGCACTGAAAATCTTCTGGTAGCTTCATGCTGGTACATTCCGCCCCCCCTCCCCCACTCCAGTGATCTACATTGATTCCAGTAACACACAGGGTGCTCCTGGAAGTAAAGGCTCCCCAGGGCCTTTGCACATCTTGCTGTGAAGCCTTAACTGCTCTTTTACCTTTCTCTGCCTGTTCCTCCTGCAGATCTCACTATACCAGTTCTACCACTCATTTCATCGGAGTACTTTTCCTTCCCATCACTTCCCAGTGTAACCCACTGTATCTTACATCATTCTGTTAGGGTACAAGCTGTCTGAGGGCAAAAACTCACTATTCCTGTGTTTTGCTACCAACGCATTCCCAGCACCTAGCACGCTCAATAAATGTTAAATAAATGCATAAACTGTTCTTATCCTTTGAGACTAGTTCCAGCTTATAATGATATAATAAATTTGAGTATTTTTACTCCACTTGTACCAAATTCACTGGTCATCACGAAGTCTGCTTTTTTAAATTTCAGCCGCTGTCATTACATGGGCATACATCATCTTCAAAATATTTAAATTATAACAACTCTTTGAATAAGAACATCAGAATGAAAAACCAGGGGCGCTGGGGTGGCTCACTTGGTTAAATGACTGACTCCCGATTTCGGCTCAGGTCAGGTCATGATCTCAGGGTTGTGAGACCGAGTCCCATGTCAGGCTCTGCTCTGAGCACAGAATCTGCTTGTCCCTCTCCCTGCTCTCTAAAATAAATAAATAAAATCTTAAGGGGAAAAAAAAAGATTTTTCTCAACCTAACAATATACAATTTGGATTTTTATGCACCACCACGTGTGATCCCTGAAAACCTCACATTCACATTTCTGATTTTTTACCATACTACTGAGATCTGCAATAATGCTATATTTCAAAGTG